TCCAACTTCAACTGTCTTTCCCTACAATTCCACAACTTTACCCTAATTATGAATTCTAATCAAATCCATACAATTAAGAATTAAAAAAACAGAAGTTACATCAAATGGGATAAACAAGTTAAATCATATCAGCGAATCTATTCATACCTTTACCCTCTCTTCCTCATTTGTGTCCATTATATAAGCCATATACCTAGCATATCCATTTCAAATCACAAATTAGTATCAAGTATATTCAATGAGCTAGAAGATCCCCCCTCCTCTCCAAAACAAAACTCCTCTAAGCATATAATATAACAACTTGAAGACCCAATTGCCACATCCCACATTTTTACAGCTTGAACGTCTCAACCCTATACAATCAAAGTGACATGAAAAAAACACTACAAAACATAGAACCTAGAGAACATCCGTGCTTCAATTAAGAGAGCAATAGCTAAAAACACAGAATAACATACCAAACTTGAACTACTAGTACTGTTTGTCTACATTATTAAGTGATGGACAAGTGTAAAAGCAAACAACAGGCTCCAGAAGATAAATAAATTAGAATGCCACAGCTTTCATCAGGACACACACACACAGATTTCACACAAAAATTTCTAGTTATGTAGTTGTAAGAAAATAAAATCTCCCAAAGGTAAGACATGATGCACATTATAAACCACGGATACATGCAACAGCTTGAGACAGCCACAAGAAAAGCAGTCTCAACATAATCAGAAGAGTCAAATACAAAAGAAAAATATATTTGAAAATCCATACAAGTTCTAATTAAATTTCTGATCATATTACTTTCTCTGTCATACAATTTGTTCTTACCAAAGCAAACTGCAAGACAAACTACCTTTAATTACTATTTAATAGTTAGTTATTTCCCTGTTTTATTTGATTTGATCTAATAACATGTAATAGTCCAGTCCATTCACTATAGTAATAAATAATAATAATATTACTTGATAAAGTAGATTGTCCTGATCAACAGATATTCCTTGAGCTACATGAATACATGACAGTATGCAGCACTGAGAAATTTCATCCATAGTTTTATGTTACTATCCTGTGATTGCACAACACCCAAGTACCAAAGAGCTGAAACTTGTTGGACATGCTGAATGCTTATCAACAAATACTATCTCATTTAATATAGAATGAAGGTGAGCCAAACTTAAAAACCCATAACACTAAATGGAGAAAGTAATCTCATTGAGTGAGTTAGACTATATTTGCAAATTCATCAATTACCAACAAAATCTCTATGCCTTTTTTAGCCAAGCTAATGTGTTAGTGTCTTAGTGAATTAGCATGAAAACCATATGTTAAGACCCCATGTTGCAGTAAACAGATGATAAGGCAGCAAAGCAGCATCAGAACATGTACAACACTTCCAATCAATAAAGTAAATGAGCTAACCAGCTCTCTCGACTTTTGTCCTTAGCCTCTTTCTCGTATTTTTGGATAGTCCGTTCATCAACTTGACCACTGAGGAAAAGTATCTGACCTCCAGTTGTAGACTTACCAGCATCTAGAACAAAAAACACAAGAATAAATTACTTCTAGAACAAGTTTATACAGAACGAACATCTCTAACTGAATCCACACCCTCCTCCCTTCTCTTTCTTCCCTGCTGCCACATATTTAGGCATTTACAAGTAATTTGCAATACATAGTTCCTCATGTAAATTATGGTAATATGACTGCTCTCTGTATTTATCATAAATCTAGTATGTGTTTGGATTAGCTTCTTTTGTGTTCAAACCAGCTTACAATCAAAAGCTTACCAAGAAAGCATTGAAAAAAATTATTATTCCCCCAAATTTAAACCGATTCTGCACAGGTTACTAGCCATTAACATAAGTAGGAGCAAATACATGCCATCCAAGTTCAGAGAACATTCTTTTATTCTCTTTCTGTCTTGAAAAGCAAAAATTGTTAGAAGTTGGCAACCAGAAAACAGGCAACAAGTGTAACTCCTCCAGTACTCCAGGGTCACAATATCTAATATTCATTTGATATAAGGAAGTTGAATGATTGAATCAATGCCCATATAATTCTATAATGCATAAGGTAGACATGAAGCACAATCTTAACCAAGTGAGTGGTTGTCAAAGGCTCAAAGTTGAACAAAACACCAAAAGAAACCCTGTTAACCCATATACTGAAAAACCATGTGGAATTCAACTTACCAACATGGCCAATAAACACAACATTCAAGTGTCTTTTCCTTGTCTCCAGTTCATCATCTTCCTCTTGAACAGAAGAAATTTCCTTATCTTTCACTGCAAATCAAAGTCATGGAGTGAGCACATGAAAATGTATGTTTGTAACTATATGCAATGAGCTGTCAGTTGTCTAATTCAAAAAATTAATATGAAGGCAAAATATGTATATAAACACATACTTGAAAACTAAATACATTTCCCAGTACCTTTTGGCTCAGCCTCAACAACCTGTGCCTGAACCTCCTGTTTTGGATCTGAAATAACAAAGGGAAAATTATGATGCCTTCCAATCTCAATCATTAATTTATACTGTTACAGAAGTTCAGTAATAACATACTAATATATAGGCAGGAAGCAAGTGAAGGAATCAGCAAAACACAAGACCCAATGCATCATATATTTATCCATGTTCAAGGAAATTGGAAGCTAGCAATACTTCATTGTTAAAAGATAAAAAAATTACTTCACCACTGTTTTCGAATGATGAGGATACAAGCAGATGACTTTTTTTTGTGTGTTTGTTTTGGGGTGTGTGTGTTTTGTGGGGGGGTTGCATTGGGTGCCAACTTAGATCCGAACAAGTAGTCACATGCATGTACTTCACAACTATATCAATCACTGGCAGGACAAGATACAGCTGATGGTAAACTTAAAGTTGTGACATTATGTGTAGTAAAGCAATTCATCATTCATCACTCGTTCAAAACAAATCAGCTGATACAACTAAAATACTAATACTCACCATAAGGATGGGAGTCTAACAAGGGACCCAAAGAAAAGGGAAGGAAAAGAGAAACACAAATATATTTTCCAACTTTTAAAATATTTAAGAGCCTCATCATTATAAGAACTTTCTACATCAAAACAATCTTTCCAAACAAGTGAGAGTTCATAAATGATTGTATCAAGGGGGAACGGAAGGTGCTACAGTGCAGAACATTTACTCATGTATGAAGTAGAAACAGGTTGATGTCAAAATAAAGAGTAACAGTAATAATATTTTAGCTTAAAATGAACTTTGCAAATGAGAGCCAAAAGAATAAAAAGAAAGACGACAAAGAAAAACAAAGAATCAAGTATAATTTTGTAACCCTTTTAACATTGATGAGATTTATTTTCCCAGAAAATATAAACATAGAACCAACCACTTCCTTACAACCAACCTTCATCCATCTTATCAGATTTCTCAACTTCTTCTGGCTTTCCATCCTCTGGATTTACCACCCCATTATTGTCTTCTGCTATATCAAAAAATCAAACCCAACATTGGACAGAAAGATTAAGAAAATGGCACAAGAACCGTAGGTACACAGTGAAAAGAACAAATACGCAAAAGTCAAAAGGCCTATGGATTACCTGCTGAGTCGAGCTGCAAAGAACGGATGTCCTCCTCAATATCTACCATTTCAAACAAAACAGACATAAATACTTACTCCAACTCCCCCAACTCCTTATAACCTCAAAGTAGAACGATATTACTTGATTTAAGAAAAGCAAGAATTTTCATTTGTTTCTTTAAATTTTTCATCAGTATGAATGAAATTCAAAAGAATTATAAATCAAGCAACACTCCTGTAGCATGCAACTCAGCTTAATGCCACTGAAATTCACTTACGGGCAAGAGAGGCTAATAAAATTGAAACACGAAGAAAGTAGAGTAACACGCAACACACAGTCACACACTACATAATAAATTGGTAAGAATAAGTTTGTAAGCAGAATAACAAAGTGTAAAATAGAACAACGAAGCCCGAAGTGAATCAATTGAGCTTGAGCAGAAGAGCAAAAGAAAATCGCGTCGATCGGTAGGGTTAGCAATAACGCGGCACAGATCTATCGTAAAGTGAGAACATGCAGATCTAAAGGAAGCAAAGGAGGGATTGAAGAAATAAAGGGGAAAGGGAATTGGAATTGGACGTGAGAAGAAGAGGATGTACCCATGGCGAAAGGGATTCTGTAGAAGTTGGAAGGGTTTCGGCGAAACGCAAGTGAGAGAGAGCGAACACGAGAAGAGCAATAAAGGAAAAGACAAACGAGGGGTGTGAGGTTTTGTGCTAGTTAGCCACCCACTTTTATCTCTCTCTGTCTTCTCTTCTCTTTTATTTCTATTTCCCTTTTCCAATTCCTATTATTAGTATTACCCTACTTGGCTTGGGTTGGGTTCGACTCTGTAGCTCTCTGTAGGCTGCACCTTATATTTTACAAGATCTGCAAATCTTATTTATATTCCATCATAACTTGACTTAGTATTCATAAAAAAAAAAAAAAAACTTGACTTAGTAAGTAATAACTCACATTTACATTTTAGATCATCATCTTCCCAATCTGATTTTTTTTTATCAAGAGGGGTGCTGCTAAGTAACAACAAACACTTTATTAAAATTTATTAAAAATTATATAAATGAGTGGACTTAGTTCATAATTTTAATTTTTATTTGTGTTAAAATAATATTTAACCAATAATAAATATGTTATGCCAATTACTTGATTATCAACTTTGAAATACTGTATGATATTCATAAATCATAAATTAAAGTGTGAAACTATTTATAAAAATTGTTCATATAAAAAAAAAATTAATCATTAATGTAGACACCATAATTCATTTGGATTACCTCCATTAAGGACTAAAGGTTACTAAGATGAGAAGAGTAGCCTTTGAGGACTCGATAAAGTACTAAAATGAATCAAGACAACACTAAGAGACTAGAAGACTCAAAACACTAATTTGGAGTGCGGAATGGTTGTTCCCAACCTTGGAACGGTCATTCCCCTTTTCGAAAGAAAAAAAAGAGCTTCACGTTGGACAACATTTTTGTTCTAAATGTATTTCTCCCCTACAAACTTAATTTCAGTGATCCGACTGTTAAAGTTAAATACCAATGTATTAAAAAGATGTCTTATAAAATTCAGCATGATCCAACAATTAACAAATTCTCTAGAAGCCCCTACAACAGTTAAAAAAAAAGGAGTCTTATATCGAACAACATTTTTTTTTACAGTATCTCTCACTACAAAACTAATTTCAACAATCCGACCGTTAAAATTAAAGATCAACATATTGAGAAGATACTGTCAAGAAACCAACACGATCCAACAATTAACAAATTTTCTAGAGGTCTCGCATAGCACCTTAAGAAATATTTTTTTTTGTAGATTTAGTCCCACTTTTAAGAAAACCAAAAGATTAAATCCCACATCGAACAATTATTTTATGATTTTACCTCCGAGATGACTATATAAGGAACCTCTCAGCCAAGGGAATAGACACGGCTCAAGCTGCATAGCTTCCTCCCTTTCTATGTAAATTTCTGAGTGAGAGTGAGGCTTTTATAGAATGAAAGGTTGTCAAACGTGTCCACGTACACATTTGAAAAGATTTGGGGATTCTGAATTTCTTCTCTTTTATTTATTATTTTATTCATTCTTTTATTTATTATATCTTATTATTTTATTTATTATTTTGTTTACTATTTTATTTATAATTTTATTTATAATTTTATTTAGTATTTTTCTTATAAATAAATAAATAATCATGTACATAATATATAATATAGATTATCGTTTTCATAATAAAATGGATAAATATTTAATTATATTTATTATTATACCCTTATGCCAATATATATATATATATATTATCTATTAATAATATAAATTATATTAATTTGTGAAAAAAAAAATAGGTGTAGTATTATTTATTGTAATTACTATTTAAGTAGTGTTTTTAAATTAAAATTTAATTTTATGACATTATAAATAAAAATTAGATATTTTAACTGTTTTTATTTATATAAAGCATGAGAAGAGGGAGTACAAGTCAAGACCAAATTCTTTAAAAGAAATATAGAATGAGCAATCATATTTTCATATTTTGTGGTTTTGCAAAATTGAAGCTCTAAACGAATAAACAATCATATTTTCATATTTTGTGGTTAAAAGTAATAGGAAAATGACCAATTTATTGGCATGTTTTTATTCTTGTACTTGTATCTCTTCTAAAACATAAAGAGACATGCCTAATTAAATGAAAAGAGTGATCGAAAAGAAAAATTAAATTAAATTAAAAGTGAGTATCAATTTTTATTTTACAATATTAGAACCTAGAATTTGTTGAATATTACTTTGATTCTATTACTATGTCATTGGTGCTATTACTAGAATGAACCCGGTGATTCTAAAAAAAATGAATATCATATTCATCACATAAATGAATAATAAAATTAAAATATGTATATTATATATAGGAGAAAATGATTATTCATTAAAATATGAATACCTAACTAATGGGATTTAGTGGAATTGATTGAGTAAAACGTAAGACTTATTGTAAATCTCTTGTTATTAAATTTGATTTTGATAGATAAAAATAAATATAAACACACTTAGATAGAAATCAGTTAATTAAGAAAATAGGAATTGAAGTTTGTAATATAATCAATAAACAAAGATTAATTTTCCAATACATAATTTTCGTAAACTTTATTAAGGTTTAATATGATTGATACGGTAATTGAATTCTTTAAATATATTATTAGGGATTCGATTTTTCAACTGTATATGGATAATACTTTGTTGGAAAAAATTTATTGGTAATCTTGATCCTTAAAATAAATTTATCTCTCAATATCAATTGAGATATTCTTATTTCACATTAAAAAAAAAAAAGTACACAGTGTATGTATAGTAAAAATGGTGAGAGAAAAATGGATAAAAAAAAGGATTGTTGAATTATCCAAAAATAAGAAATGAGGAAAATAAAAAACACGAGCCTCACACTTTTTATGTATTCATAAAATTTAATAATATCGACAAAATTCACTAAAATAATATTCATTTATTATTGTTGACAACCAATTGTTAACATGTACATTGAATAATGAAAAAAAAAAACACGAAAAGGTAAATCATGTGTTTAAAACTTAGAAAACATTAAAAAAAATTGAAAACAAATTTAAGATCATCCAATGTAAAAATAGAGGATAAATAAAGAGATAATACACAACACATTATTTTTGTTGCTTTATCACTTTAAATTATATCCAATTTTTGCAACGGGGAAGATTTTTACCACTCACAATATAAGGATTTTTACCACTCACAATATAAGGACATCACAACATAATATTTTTACCACTCACAAGTCACAATATAAGGACATCACAACATAATTTAGTTTCACTAGAAAAACTAAATTACAAAAATGTTTGAGAGATCATCTTATAAAATAACTTTTTGATAAGGTCGGGTTTTCTCTTGTGATTTAATCTAATTTCATTAGTTTTCTCCATGACAAAATTCTCTATATACAGGCTTTGGAAACAATATGTTTTAAATCATGGCACATTTTTGGGCAATCATGTAGGAGTAGACAAACTTTGTCTTATAATGTTGTTGAGAGAAATAAATAAATAAATAAATAACCATTACATGCACAACCATCACAAGGAGTAACTTTTGTCACCTTAAAAAAAAAAACATTTTTCACAATTGGTTAAATAGTCAGAAACTTTTTTTTGGCTTCCATTCCATATTGATTAACAAAGAATATTCAAATTTAAAAAGACAAACTATAGAGCAAACGATTTTTCAGAAAAAAACTAATGTTCACTATAGCACAATATTAAAAAGAAATGAGGAATATCATGTGCCATTCATTATTTTAAACTAATATTATAATGTACGTTTTGTTTTTGATATGGATGAAGCAGATTAGTTTAGAAGCAGGACATTTAGTTAATTAAAGTTTTAAGTCAAAATAAATATTGAACTGTCTTTGTAAAAATGTATTTATTAGATACTTTATATTTTTTATGAATAAGATAAGACTTATATTATATTTTTTTATGAATAATATAAGACTTATATTATATTTTTATTACAAAACATCATTATTATATTTTCTTTTTCAATAAATGGTCAATTATAGCTTAAAACTTTAACGTTGTTTATTGTCATCAAATTCATAAGGAATGAGTTTTATTAAGGCACTGGTTCCAGCATAATAAATTCTACTTTCATTCTGTTTTTCACTTAACTTCGTCCAATTTATTCCTCTTTTTTTTTTTCTATTTATTTTCACTTGTTTTTTCTTATTTCTTAATATTCTAGATTTTTTTGGTAGGGGCACTCAACCCTAACTATTTTTTTTTTCTCTTACAACCCTAACTAATCTAACAAGTCTAAAGTTTCCACTATTTAAATTTAAAATTTTATTTTAAACAAGTCTAAAGTTTATTTTCCCAGTTTAAATTTAAAATTTTATTTGTGGATTTCTAAAATGGATTTTAATTTGATTTAGTGTCATGTTTTTCTTTAAAAATATAATTATTTTAATAATATTTTTTATTTAATAAATACTATTTTATATAACATAATATTATATTTATAATGATATTATTTATTTTAAATTATATCTTAAAATATACTTTAATTGAATTAATGGTTGCAATAAATATTCTTGAGTCATTTAGGGCTTATCTCTTTTGAAAATTCTGAAGACACTGCAGGTTGGTTGTATCCTTCTAACCAATATTTTTTCTACACTATGTTTGGTAAAGTGAAAGATTGATGGAGGAGGAGAAAAAAAAAATGAGAGTGAAGAAAAGCTTATTGTTATTTTATAGGTTTATGATAAAGTGGAAGTTGTCTGGAAGTGAGTAGAAGTGCGCGAAAGATCCTTATGTGCTGTCTTAACTTTTTTATTTGTTTATTAATATTGGTGCTGTGTCCATGTAATTATTTTAAAAAAACTAATATTTGTTAAACCAATCAATTTTAAATTAAATTTTTAAATCTTAAAGTTTCAAATTTGTTAAAATAGTTCAAAAATTATACATAGGAAAACAAGAAACTTCTTTTTTTATATAGGTTTAGATTATTATTATTGTTGTATGATAAAAGATTAACTTTTATACTATTTTTCTTTTATTTTCTTTCAATCAAATAACTTTTCTTATTTTATTTTGATATTTTTTTCCTTTTTTATTTCACTTGTTTTCTCTTCTCTTTCTTCTTTTATTTTCTCTTTATCAAACACATCCTTAACATCTAAAATCAATATTACTTCATTTGCTTAAATGATTGAGTTCATCACTACTTAGATCACTTATCATTTATTATTTTAATATTTAACTAGCCATAATATGAATATTAGTATACTAGTGTTTTTAGCAGTGTAATTCTTTTTTAGTATTATGATATTCGTGAAAATATCTATCAGATTTATTAAAAATTAGTTTCCCTCAAAATTTTAACTGTATTAAAGTTATCTCATAAGATAGTTTTTTTTTTTATCAAATTTTAAAATTTTAAAATTCAGAGATTTGAGAATCAATCACAACACCAATTAAATTAATATTATTGTTTTAATATGTACATTGCACAAACTAAATGTTATTATGTAAAGAAAATAAATTATGTATAAATAAATATAATATTTTAAAAAATAAATCATATTAATCTAAAATTTATATAATAATTATTTTTAAATATATAAATTATATTTATATGTTGAAGAAAATTATACTATAGTACAAATTATCTTAATTATTGATATTTTGTTTTTAATTTATTATATTTAATTTAAAAATATATGATAAATACAAATTGTAGTAGGAAAAAAAATCATATAAATCCTTTCAACGAAGATAAGTGTCTTAAAAAATTATCATACAAGTCTCTAAAAATGTTATTGTATAATATAACTATCTATACTTAATATACAAGGGGACAAATTATAGTAAAAAAAAATTAACCATATTTTATTTAACATATTTCAAATTTTAGTAAAATTACATTGATTTTGTCAATAACTATTTTTTTAAAATAAATTTGATTAACTACTTTTAATGGGATCTTTTCAATTATATTTTTTCACAAAATATTCAAATAAAAACTTTTTTAATAATACCAAATCGAGTGTTATCCAAAACAAACTACTTAATAAATGTTTAATAAAAAAACACATATTATTATTATTATTGTACAAAAAGATTACTAATTCAATAAATTAAATAATGATGAAGGATTAGAATAGAATGCACATATTTTTAGATTTGAATTTCATTGTTGTAACGACCTACCTAATCGTCTCACAACAAAACATCACACAGAAAAGAATATGCATATAAATAGTAATTATATATACATAAGTCTAGCCTGAGACTCAATAATAAGTCAGTATACAATACTACAAAAATAGCTACACCAAGTAGCCCATAAACAACAAAAATCAGCTCCTGCTACCAATTTTAGCCTTGCTACTACACTCCAGCCTATCCATATTCTACTCTCATACACAGAATGATCATTGTAGTCCAACCCACATAGAAACAGACAAGGGTAAACTAGTAAAAAGAATCAACATATAATTAAATTATAAACAACTTTCAACTTAATAACACATCATTAGTCTCAACAGATTTAACATACAACACAGGACAACATACAGTTACATCACAGCTACACAACACACTGCACACATACAGCTCATGTGAATCAGCAAATTAGCAACACAATAGCTTATGCGTCGTCACGCATTTCAACTCAGAGATCTCCTACAACATGAGTGAGCAGTTTAAGTGGCTAGGTCCTACCGAACCGACAACAAAAAACCTTTTTGGATTTGTTAGGTAAACAATAATTTGGATATCAATCCACAACTTCACGATTTCTCAGACTTTGTCACTTAAACAAATAAGTATAGTACTATGTCAGGATATAACAGCTGAGTTTTAGGTCTACCACGACATTAGCTAGCTTAACTAAACCACCTATGGAATTAGCCTACCGATTATCCTCCAAATACCACAACCTTCCGATACTTAGTTAGGAACTAAGTTCTCGACTTCGTACTTTACTCGATTGGCCGCTTGTAATCGGTATAGCTCGACTTGACCCCTATACCGTGGTCGCTTTGTACACGTGTGCCTCGACCTTACCCACACACGGGACCAACTAAGTACTAGAGGAGAATAACACAATGACCACTCCAAGTGCAACTTCCCAATGAGGGTTTTTAACAAATTGGGCTCTAAGAGCACCACAGCTTCCTCAATCCACACAATGGGATGAGCAACTTCAAAAAACATCTCCTATAGTCTTAGTGATCAACAACTCATCGTTACAGCTTAAACAACATACAGCACAGCTTAGCTTAACAGCATTAACAGCTTAAACAACATACAACACAGCTCAGCTTAACAGCATCATCAACTAAACCAACATACAACACAGCTCAGCTTAACAGCATTAACAGCTTAAACAACATACAACACAGCTCAACTTAACAACATTAACAGCTTAAAGAACATACAACACAACTCAGCTTAACAGCATTAACAGCTTAAACTACATACAACACAGCTCAACTTAACAACATTAACAGCTTAAACAACATACAACACATCTCAGGTTAACAGCATTAACAACTTAAACAACATACAGCACAGCTCAGCTTAACAGCATTAACAACTTAAACAACATACAACACAACTCAGCTTAACAGCATTAACAACTTAAACAACATACAGCACAACTCAGCTTTACAACATTAACAGCTTAAACAACATACAACACAACTCAGCTTAACAACATTAACAACTTAAACAACATATAGCACAGCTTAGCTGAACAGCATTAACAGCTTAAATAACATACAACACAGCTCAGCTTAACAGCATTAACAGCTTAAACAATATAGTATATCAACACAACAACTCATCAACATTATATTTTACAACATATAAATAATCCACACATAAATATAACAACTTTAGCAACATACCATGTATTCAACACATTTTCTATTTGACACTACTCATTTAGTTTACAACACTATACTCAACATGCATCTCTTCATTTCACTTTCTACTCATCATACATCTCAATGTAATTATACAACTCCATATGAGTTCCTAAGCTCACATACAACCAAACAACATACAATCTAGTTTCCCTTACCTGAAGATTGGCTCAGAATAGCCAAGAACTGAGAAGAAGTGGAATGTCCTATCTGAAGCTCAACCCAGGACTTCAATCCACCCAAAGCAAGCTTCTTAGTCCAGAGCTTCTTTCTAAAAACCTTTCCGTCTCCTCAATTGCACAACCTCTATTTATAAAAGTCTGAAGTGGCCAGAACGGCCCGTTTCAAATCCGGAACGGCCCGTTCTGGGTTCCTTCATCACGTGTAAAATTCACATGCAGAACGGTCTGTTTTGAAACCAGAACGGCCCGTTCTGGCATGTCTAGAACGACCCGTTCTAAATCTGGAACATCCCATTCTGGAGTTGAATTTAACTCACAATGATCATTTTGGAACAGCCCGTTCTAGTCCAAGATTCATAGGCCTATTTAGTAGTTTGGAACGTCCCGTTCCAGTTTGGGAACGGTCCGTTTTGGGTTACTAAATCACCATTGTTTTAGTAGTTTGAAACTGCCTGTTCCAATTTGAGAATGTCCCGTTCCAGTCTACTAATTATGTTACAATTGTTATTTTAATTTTGATGAAAAAAAAATAATAATAATAATATTTGTTTATTAAATAGACAATGGAAATGTGAAGAGAAAAGTAAATTAGTAAATACTATTGGTTATAACGTGAAAAAAATAATAAGTTAAAAGCAATATTAATTTCAATTACTAAAAACCCAATCTCGCTATATATATATATATATATATATATATTATCTTTTTAATGATATAGATTAAATAAATTACTAGTTAATATTATTGACATTTGGTAATGTTTGAACAACAACACGAAGATTTTTCATATTTCAACTCTAATATATTAAA